ATTTGAAGAGCTATTAACAGAATTAGAAACAGATTACAGATTATATATAGAATAATTAGAAAGAATAGTCAGATTATTAAAATAGAGCAGATTAAACAGATTAAATAAATTAAATAAATTAAATAAATTAAATAAATTAAATAAATTAAATAAATTAAATAAATTAAATAAATAAAATAAATAAAATAAATAAAATAAATAAAATAAATAAAATAAATAAAATAAATAAATAAAATAGATAGAATATACTAGATCTATATTATAATATTATAATTTTTATAAAAAGTTCTATAAAGGTTTTTTATAGATTTGTTTTATAAAAATCTATTTTTTATTTTAGTCTATTATATTTTAAATAGTTTTATTTAAAAAAAAAACTATTTTATAATTCTGAGCTTCAGATATAAATTTCTGCTTATTAGATTTATTAAAATAAATAAAATATAATAGATATATTAGCTATATTTTAAAATATAATAGATTATATTTATATAAAATTATATTTTAAAATAAAATAAATTATTTTTATAAAACCTTTTATTTTTATCTTTTTAAATTAAAAATTTAAGAACTAGTTTTATAAATTATTATCTCTATAAGAATTATAAAAAGAAATTATTATTAATTATATCTAAGTAAATAATTAGTTAAATACTAAGTAAAGATTTATTATAAATATCTATTTATTTTTTTAAGATAAATCTTTTTTAATTATTATCTTTCTCTAGATCTTTATAATTTATAGTAAATAGAATTTTTAGAATTAAGTTCTATATTTTATAATTATCTATTATCTATTATTTTAAATTATTAAATATATTTAATTTAAATAAATAATTAATCTTATTACTTTATCTCTCTACTAAAAATTAAGTTCTTTTAATTAAATATAAATTAAAGAATATCTTATAAAACTGTCTAAAATAATATATATATAATTATTATTAAAGTTTTTAAATATTAAATAAATATTAATTATAATAAATTACTAAATCAGCTCTAATTAGAAAATATTTCTTATTTTAATTAGATTTAATTAGATTAATTAAATTAATTAGTTAGATAATTATATTTTAAATTTGATATTTTATATTTTCTTTTATTTTTTTTATATTAAATTCTATAAAAATCTTTTTCAAAGTATAGTATATTTCTTAAGATAATTAATTAAATAAATTAAGTAATAGACTATATCTAAAGAATATTATTATATTTATATTATAATTAAATATATATTATACTTTATATATTATCTATATAAAAAAAATATATATATTATAAATTAATTTATAATTATTAATTTATCTACTATATCTAATCTTTCTAATTAATAGATATAAATAATTATAATAATAGTTATATCTTAATCTAATCTTAATTATATAATTAAAATTTTTTTATATCTTAATCTAATTATCAGATTATGATTAGATTAAGGTTAAGATATAACAGTCAGGTTAAGCCACTCTACTTTTAATAATAATAAATAATTATAAAATAAGCTTTAAACAGTTAATTTCTTATTATTTTCTTAAATATATTTTTAAAGTAATATATAAATATTAATATAATTATTATATATAATAAAACAGAAATACTTATTATTTATTTTAATTAATAATTATTAAAAACTGTTATATAACTGGCTATAACTGACCAGAACTGGCCACAATCTCCTGATAACTTGCGCCAGCGGCCTACTATGTAGCTCTGCTTTTTAATCTATTTAATATAAATATAAATTTTATATTTATTTTTAAATTTTAAATTTTTTTAAACCGAAGATTCTCTATATTTAAATAAATTATATATTTATTAAAATTATATTTTTTAAAATATTTAAAATATTCATATATTAAGCTCTGTCTTTTTAATTTAGCTATATTTTTAGAAATGCTTAAATAAATATAATACTAAACTTTCTGATAATTAATTAGTAAGATGATAAAATATTTTATAATATTAAGATATATTATTCTTTCTGTCATTTTATTATTTAGAATTATTTTATTATTTTTTAGACACTGATAATCATATTTATACTTTTATAATTTATATTTATCCATAAAAAGCATCTTTTAAAAACGAAGATTATTTATTAGATCTAGAATATATAATATTCTTTGAATTTATTATAAAGTTACTTAGAATCTTCAATTTAATTATTTTATAATTTTTAATTAATAATATATAGTTACTGGCTATTATACAAGTCTCTTTTTATATAAAATATAAAAAAATAAAAAGCTTTCTCTATTCTATTATATAGCAGATTATTTTATTATTAAAATATTATTAATTAAATTCAATATAATTATTAAACTTTATATTAATATTTTTATAAATCTTAATTTAATATTAATATTACTAGAGATAATATAAATTTATTTAATATAATAATATATTTATCTAGAAAATTAATAGATTATTTTATTCATATTCTTATTATTATAATTTTAATCTAATTCTTTATTAAATTAATAGTTAATAAATTATTTCTTATATTTAATAAGCTATTTCTTATCTAGAAATTTCTTTTTTTTAAATTATTCTTAAAGATTTTTGATTTTTGATTTTTCTTTTAGTAATAATCTCTTATTTTATATTTTTTATAATAAAAATAAATTATTTTTCTATTATTTTTTATTCTAGATCTTTCTCTTAACGAATTATTTTTTTTACATTTTTAATGTTACTTATTTTTTATTTAATAAATTCTTTTATTACTAAAACATTAAATTTGATTATTAAATTTTATATTAAAATATTCTTTCAAATATTTATTAAGATGTTAAATAACAATTCAGTCTTTAAGTCTTATTATATTTTTTTATCAATATTAATAAGTTTTTGACTTTTGTAGTATAATAATAATTTTATTAAAATTTTTATATATCTTATACTAAGATTTCTTTGTTTAATTAATTAATTTTAATAAATAATATAATCTTATAGGTCTGAATAATCTTATATATTAAATTTTTAAATAAATTTATATTTTATTAATATATTTAGAATATTTAACTACTATTATTATTTTTTAATATAATTTTATTTATATTGTAACATTTATCTTTAAATTAATTTTATATTAATTAATTTATTAATCTTAAAATCTTTTATTCTATTATTAAAATCTAGAATTAATTTTTTTTATTACTAGCTTTAATTTTATAACTAAAATATTTTAATAATTTAAGATTATTTATTAAAAATATATTAATTAATAATATTTATAGAATTAATTTAAAGATCAAATATATAAATCAAAAAATTAAATAATTTATATGAAATATTAAGCTAATATAAATTTTAAAATAATTTAATAAATTAGCAAGTCTGGATTTATAATTAAGAAAATAAATTTTTAAAAATATGAAGATTTTTAGATATTTTATTTATATTTTATATATAATCTGAAATATAAAAATAAAATATTAGTAAAAAATAAGAATAGTATTTTTGAAAATTATAATATTAATAATATAAATATTAAATACTTAAGAATTTCTATCTAATAATTTTTAATAGATTTTTTTAAGAACTTGTCAGAATATATACTTACTTAGCCAGAGATAGAATAACTATATTCTACTCTCAGTAAGCCAGAGATAGAATAACTATATTCTACTCTTAGTAAGCCAGAGATAGAATAACTATATTCTACTCTTAGTAAGCCAGAGATAGAATAATAATCCACCCGCAAACAGGGTCCCAGTTGCAGCGGGTTCAGAAAAAGTTGCGGAAGGATCAGAAAGTTGGATATCTTATAGATAAGACTTCTGATTTTTAATTAGATTTTTATATAATATAGCTAATTAAAAATTAGAATTTATAATTCTAATTTCTATAGAATTATATTATATATTTAAAAAATCTAATTTTCTAATTTCTGCGGAGCTTTATTATAATTTTCTAATTTTATTATATCATATTTTTTTTATTTTTAAAAATTCTTATCTGCAAGATTCTTCTAAGATCTGTATATATAATTATATATAAATATAATTTTATATAGACTTTTTTATAGAGTTATCTAGATTTTTGAATAAAATTTTAAATAAAGTCTTAAATAGAAGCTTATTATAATATAATTTTAAAAAGACTCTATAAAAATTCTTTATAGATTTTTTTAATAAGAAGACTTCTGCTTTTAATTAATACTTTATATATAGAGTATATATATATATATATATATCTTATAGCTAATATTATAGATTTAAGTCTAATTTTAAGTTTTATTTATAAAAAAAGACTATATTTAAAACTCTGATTATATTATAACAAGCTTTTATTTAAGACTTTGTCTAAGACTTTACTTAAAAATCTAAATAACTCTATAAAAAAGTCTATATAAAATTATATCTGTATAAAATTATATATATAGATTTTAGAAGAATCTTATAGATAAGAATTTTTAAGAATAATTAAAAAAATAATATAATTATATAAGAATCAGAAAATTATATAATATAATTTTATAAAAATCAGAAAAATTATATAATTAAGCTTAGTAAGAATCAGAAATTCTATAAAAATTAGAAGATTCTATTACTGTTTTTTGATTCTTGCCAAGAGTTATTCTGATTCCGGCCTGATCCTTCCGCAACTTTTTCTGAACCCGCCGGAGCTGTATACCCCCCGCAAACCTAGCTGCCTCATATCAAGGGGATGATGGCATTCGGCTAATCCCAGCCGAGTAAACATGGACCACAAAATATGCCTGGTCTGAATTCTGCCACCCAGCCTCAGACCATGGTGAGCTCTTTTTAGATTTTGTCAATGATGAACTAGGGATTTTCAGTATATTTATGGTCAGGATTGGGAATATAATAGAGAGATCTCTTAGAGGATTAGTAAAAGAACAGTATATAAACCTGAATTTAATACTAGAGCTTATTATACCAGTACTATGTAGTATAAGGGCGGTGGCAGAATTATTGTACGAGGCCGAGCTGTGAGCCCCAAAATATGCTAAATTCCAGCAAGCTAACTACGAAGGCCATTTCAATCTGAAATTGAGAATAATTTCTCATTTGGGAGCGACGACAATAAAATCATTAATCAGGACGACATTTTGCAGAAACCGAATTTGCTAAACCCGAAAAAAAAATGGCAGACATGATGAAAGCTGTTGGTTGGTTGCCTTTAATTGTCATTTTGATCGCGCGTCTGTTCACTCTGTTTAGGTATAAAGGGGAGTAAAGGAAGCGCCGATGCTTTATTTATTGATGAACTCGCTGTACCAAAGCCAGGTGATGGGCAGGCTTTGATCAAGATCAAGGCATTTGGTTTGAACCGGATGGACCTATTGCAGCGGGAGGGGAAATATCCTGTTCCACCCCAGGCGCCTAGCACTATGGGAGTTGAATTCTCTGGGGTGATCAAGAAACTTGGGGTCGCTACTGGCGATAGTTTTGAGATTGGTGATAGTGTGTTTGGTCTAGCTTATGGAGGTATGTATGGCGTTGCCTAATAGAATTTGCGTGCGATGATTGATCCAATTATGCCAGGTGCCTACGCGGAATACATTGTGGTGTCAACATGCATGTTGATACATAAACCCCAAGGATTAACTTGGGAAGAGGCAGCAGGAATACCAGAGGTGAGCGAGAGATGTTTTTCCAGTTGACAGACCCGTTTTGACCATGACTACACATCGAAGACTTGGATTACGGCTAGCCAAGCCCTATACATGGTGGGAGAATACGCTCCTGGAATGTCTATTCTCTGGCATGCAGGAGCTTCCTCGGTGTCGATAGCTGGTATTCAACTTGCCAAAATTGATAATGCGTCTGCCGTATATGTGACTGCGGGCTCTCAGGAAAAAATTGATTTTTGCATAGGTGAACTTGGGGCCACTGCTGGTTACAACTACAAAGAACAGGACTGGGCCTCCGAGATTATGAAGGCGACAAATGGCCGCGGCGTCGACATTATAGTCGACTTCGTCGGCGCGACACATTTTCAAGGCAACCTGGACGTGGCAGCGCAGGATGCACGCATTGTCCAACTAGGGCAGATGAGTGGCTCGATACTTTCTGGGAATGTTGATATCAGTGGGCTTTTAAGAAAAAGGCTGAGGTTTGAGGGCAGCACGCTTCGAAGCAGAGATGAGGGATACCAGAAGAAACTCCGTGATCTTTTGGTGGATCATGCTTTGCCAAAGTTCAATGATCAAACTTTTAAAATATTCATTGAAAAGGTTTTTCCGTTCGAGGAAATTGCAGAGGCACATAGACTGCTTGAGAGCAATCAAACTAAGGGAAAAATCATATGTACAATTAATTAAATTGAAAAATAACAATCATGGGGGTAGACACAGAGTAGCTGTTAGTGGAAATAGATGCTGCAGTTACTTATATAAAAGTTTTATTATAGCCCGGGATGACACAACTTTTAACAGAACAATTTGCATTTGAATTTTAAGTAAGACTTCAAATCATCATGACTTAAGTAATAGTATTTTTCTTTAGCTTCTAGAATTTTATTTGGCCTCTAGATAGAATTTAAATATAGTTACTATAAGTTTGCATTATCACTTGGATCTTAAGCATTGAATTTGACAGCCCCTCATTAACTAATGCCCCTCTTTCCTGAAATAGCCTAACCAACCCCTACGCGGCTGTAAGGATAGTAATCCTTATAACCCTCGCGATATATTATATCGCGAGGAATGCCCACGCTGCGGAGGCAGTCTCTTGCGAAGTAATTATACTAGTATAATATATAATCTACAGAATTCTTATAGATATATTTATTTATAAGAGAAGTTAAATAAAAAATTAGTAATAATATTTTAAATAATATAGATATTATCTTAACTTTATAATAAATATATTTTTTTTATATTATCTTAATATATATTTTTATAATCTTATTATTTAAAATCTATAAGATAATCTATTAAAATTATATTTATATAAAATATTAGATATTATATTTATAAGAATTCTTCTAATTCTTTAAAGATTAATTATAAAGTTATTATAGAAAAAATAATTAAAATAAATATAATTTTATTATTCTCTAAGAATTTTTATAAATAATTAAATATATTTTAATAAATTACAGAACTAGAGCAGAGACTTAAAATTTTTATAAATAATAAAAAAACTTATAAATTTCTGAGTAATTCTAATATTTTATTTATAAAATTAAAAAAGACTAATATATATATATATTTTATAAAATAATAAATATTATAATACTTATAATTATATTATTTTTTAATTATTTATTATTTAGTAGAAGTCTACTATAAAAATTAATAATTAAAATAAAAATTAATAAATATAAATTATAATAATCTATCTAAATTATATATTTAGTAATCTATAGAAAGATAAAATTATAAAGCTCTTCTAAAAGAATAATTAAATAGATTTTTATAAATTTTTTAAAATATAGCTAGATAATTTAAAGAATTATAAATAAAAGATTAGAGTGGCTAACAGCCAGATCAGATTAGATTAATTAGAATTTTTATATCTAACTGCTAGATTATAATTAGATTAAGAAAATTTTTATATTAGACTATAATATAGCTAAAAATCAGATAATTAATTATCTTAATTATTCTTAGTATTAAAATCTATTAACTATATCTTTTTAAGCTCTAGTATAATTAAGATATATTTAGATTAAATAATTATTAATCTAACTATCTTTATTATTATCTAAAAATATATAAAAAGAAGCTTTTTAAATTAAAAAAATATAATTAAAAAAGAAATTAGTATTTTCTTTATTATTATTTATTAAAAATAATAAGAAAAATTTAGTTATATTAATAAAATTCAGCTTTTTATAAAATTATTATTCTTATAATAAAAAATATATATAAAAATATATAATTACTGCTCTATTTTAGCTATATATTTTAATTATATTATAGAATATTAGAAAAACTATATATTAATTATTAATTAAAATACTAAAAATAAATATATTATTTTTATTTTATTATTTCTTCTATTCTTAAATTTATAAATAAAATATAGCTTAAAGAGCTATTAATAGAATTAAAAACTAATAAATAGTTAAAAAGATTATAAATAATTAAATTATTAAAATAAAGCAGATTAAATAGATTAAACAAATTAAATAAATTAAATAAATTAAATAAATTAAATAAATTAAATAAATAAAATAAATAAATAGAATATACTAGATCTATACTATAATATTATAATTTTTATAAAAAATTCTATAAAAATTTTTTATAAATTTTTTTTATAAATATCTATTTTTTATTTTAATTTATTATATCTTAAGTAATTTTATTTAAAAAAAAAACTATTTTATAATTTTAAGCTTCAGATATAAATTTCTATTTATTAAATTTATTAAAATAAATAAAATACAGCAGGTGTCTTAGCTATATATTAAAATATAATAGATTATATTTATATAAAATTATATTTTAAAATAAAATAAACTATCTTTATAAAGTTTTTTACTTTTATTTTTTTATATTTATTATTTATAGAATAATTTTAAAATTATAAATTAATTATAATTATTTAATTTATTTTTAAAAAATATTATTAAATCTTCTTCTTCTATTTCTTAGATTTTTATAAATTATAATAATACTTAAACTAAGATAAGCTTCTTAAATTAGATTTTTTTTTTTAAATCTTAAGATTATATATATTATAAAGAATTAAAAGATTATTTTATATTTATCTTTTTAAAAAAAGCTTTTTATTTTTTAGAATTAATAACAGAAGATAATCTTTTCTAAAGATTATATATAAATTAAAAAACTACTATTTTATTTTAATTAAGAAAAATTATTAATAATATAAAACAGTTTTTAGAAAGATATATTATTTTTTAATAAAATCTCTTATATTTATTATATTATATATCTTTATATTTTATAATATTTAGAAATTAAAAACTCAGGAACTAGTTCTATAAATTATTATTTTTATAAAAATTATAAAAAGAAATTATTATTAATTATATCTAAATAAATAATTAGTTAGATACTAAGTAAAGAACTATTATAAATATTTATTTATTTTTTTAAAATAAATCTTTTTTAATTATTATTTTTTTTTAGATTTTTATAATTTATAATAAACAGGATTTTTAGAATTAAGTTCTATACTTTATAATTATTTATTATTTATTATTTTAAATTATTAAATATATTTAATTTAAATAGATAATTAATCTTGCTGTTTTATCTTTCTACTAAAAATTAAGTTTTTTTAATTAAATATAAATTAAAGAATATTTTATAAAATTATCTAAAAAGATATATACACAGCTGCTATTAAAATTTCTAAATATTAAATAAATATTAATTATAGTAGATTACTAAATTAGCTCTAATTAAAAAATATTTCTTAATTTAATTAAATATTTTTTAATAAAAAATATAAATTATTATAAAATTTTACTAGATTTTTAATTAATATCTAAATCTTATATTAATAAAAATCTAGCTATAATTATTTTATTAGTCTTATATAAATATAATCTTATCTATTAATTATTAGATATAATAATTAATAATACTAATAATAATAATATAATATTTAATATAATCTTAGCTAAATTTTGAATTTAACTTAACTAAAGTATTTAGTTTTATAATATTCTAATTAATTCTGATTTTTTAAAAATTATTTAAAATTAATATTATATTTTCTGTCTTATTTATATAATTTAGCTTATAATTAATATTTTTCTATAAAAACTTTAAATTAAGATTTTAAACAGTACTATTAAATATATATAAAAAAATAATAATAAAAATCTTAAATTTTTTTTTAATATTTTAAAAATTTTTAAAAAAATATATTCTAGAAGCTGTCTATAAAAGATTAATATAGAATCTTTTTTTATAAAAAACTTTTTAAAATCTTTTATTAACTAGTTTATTATATTAATTCTTAATTATAAATTTAAAAGATTATATAATTTATAAATATAAGTTCTTAATATTATAAGAAATTTTTATTTATTTAATAACTTAAATCTGACTCAGTCTATTATTTTTTTTTAATTATAAAATCTATTAAAACTAAATTTATTTTATAATTTATTAAATATTTAATTTTTATTAAGCAATTGAAAATTTTATTCAGTATTATAAATATAATAATATTAATTATTTTTATTTTATTATAATTAAATAAAAATAAATAAAATATCTTTTTAAACTTTTATATTTTTTTTTTATTTTTTATCTTTTTAAGAATAGTGGGCCTACTATTCACAAAATTTATAATATTTATAATAATTTTTTTAATTATCTAAACTATTTAATTAATAGATTGAAAAAAAAACAGATATTCTAAAAAAAAAAAATTCTTAAGAATTTATATAATATATATTAAAAGTTTTAAAAATATTATTATTATATTTATCAGATAAAAAATTATATCTATATAATTATAATTATTCTAAATCTAATATTAAAGCTTAAGAAATTTAGAAAAAAATATATAACTAAATAATAATATTAATTAATATTATAAATATTAAATTATCTTTAAAAAAATATTCTTTTTTTATTCTAATTAAAATTGAATAATTAATATATTATTAATAGTCTTTAGATTACTATCAGATCTAAATAAGATTTTTTATAATATTTTTAAATATTAAAGACTCTTATTTATAGTTAAGATATATAAAGAATTTAAAATATATCTAGATATTAAAGATATATAGCTTTTTAAAATATCTTTAATAAAATTGATATAATTCTAGATATTATAAAATATATTAATATTCTTATTTATTATAAATTCTATTATAATTAGTTTTCTATTTTTTATTAAATAACTAAAGATTTTCTCTTAATTATAATTAATAATATTAGTATTAAATATTTTTTTAATAATTCTTAATATATCTGCTATTATTACTAAAGCTATCTTAATTTTAATATAATTAAAGTAATTATATTTTAAATATATATTAATTATTTTATTATAAATAAAAAATATCAGAATATATTTAATAATCTTAATTTAGATTTAATTATTTTTATATTCAAGAAATAAAAAAAAAATAAAATAATTACTATCTTTTATATTAATAAGAATAAAAATATAAATAATTTTGAAAATAATTCAGAGAATAAATTATTATTAAAATTAAAAGAACTAGTTTTATTTAAATCTTTAATTATTATATATATTTAGATAGAGATAAAGATCTAATTTTTATAATTTTTATATTATTATAATTACTATTCTAAATAATATAAAAAATAAATATTCTATATTTTTTCTTATTTTTTTTATATTAGATTCTATAAAAATC